CGTGCGTAACATAAATGTACTGAATATTTTACATTCTTGTACTCCAAATTGTATAAACAATTTAATAAGAGAAAGAAAAAAATTCCTATCTTTTTAAGTTGTATCCATACCTATTTAAAAACCAAAGAAAACATAGCAAATTGATGCCCAAAACCAGCCAAATAAGCAATTGCATAAGAGAGTTCCACTCACTAAGATAGCATCATAACTTAAACAACTAAGAGAAATAAATCAAAATAAATGGGAAAAAAAACATAACACAAAACCATCGACTTATCAAAATTAAAATATAGAGAAAAACATTACTTTATTCATGTACATATATAACATGTGCAAGTATGTAGAAAACAATGAAAATCGGTTCCATTGATAGAAATATACTGACCACTTCAACCGCCCTCCTCCTCTTTAACTTCATATTGGAACTGAAAGCATTGCACGAATCAAAACCTCTTTGAAATAAAAGCCGATCAATCCCCAAAAATCCAAGAATTGATCGACGAGCAGAGACTGAATTGGGGAAACGAAAATTCTGAGGCAACTATTAAGTGTATAGGAAATTGAACTGAGTAAGGTTCGGTTCAGGCAATTTCACGATGATCGGATCGTCAAACTTGATTTTTCTAGAGTAATCAGATGAAATTTCAGCTTTTCTGCGATCAAGATTAGGGTTTTGATGAGATCGCACAGAGAGAGAAAAAGAAGCAGAGAATTGGAGAAGAAATAAATAACTGAGAAGAAGCAGAGAGTGTCGTATATATATGAGGGAAGAGAAAATTACAGGAAAATGGGAAAATAAAAGAGACACAGAGAGAGATAATGGGAGGAGATAAATAAATAAAAAACAAAATAAACTTTTTTTTTCTGTTGGATAAAATATATAATTAAGTTGTAACCAAAAAGAAAAAATATAATTTAATACTTTTTTGTTGGAATATCCTATAATTAAATACTTAAGTTTCTAAATATTAACCGGCGAAATGAATTAAGCTATATAATATAAATTTACACAGTGCATGAACACTAGTAGAAGTCCAGAAAAGTTTGTATCCTAAATTGCTCCTTCAAACCAAGTGTCCCTTAAATTCAAGCCCAAAAAAAAAATTGTTGGTTAAATGGAGAATGGCCTCTAGCTTCAAAAAGATTGATTCTTTGTAAGGTTTTATACATGTGTTAGAGTTTATGATGTAATATAAATATTCATCTGTGTATTCACGATAATAGTTTGAATCTCGTTGTTACGTCTATACATTAAATAATTTTTTATGTGTAAACAAAAGTTTTTACACTTATTATCATCCAATGATCAAACAAGTAAAACTACCAATGTGTACTTTTTATTTATTTATAACTTTGCCATATTTTTCAAATTAGTGAATACAAAGTTAATATAAAAACAACTTTGCCACTAGTGTACAATCATTTATACTATAAAGTACACAATGAATAATACTATATGGCATGGAAACATTATTAGTGAAGCTTTATGCCATATGAACTGCACAAAATTTTGAATCTAGCTATGGTGGCAATTCACTAAAACCCATAATTACAACAAGAGTTCAATTATTAATATATGAGCATTGACAACGAGATCTGGCTTAGTAAAAAAAAAACACTGACATGCATACATGTAGTCTCAGATTCGAAACCGTCTTATGAATCTTGCAAGCAACAATTGATTTATTTATTGTAACTGGCTTCGTAGAGTGGCCTAAAAATATAGATGTTGCTGCCAATAAAGTTTGCATTGTCAAATTGAAAGCACCGTGTGCATGTTTTGTTTTGGCCTTTTTGTGACTTTCTTAATTGTGAAGTAAAGAGTGTGGACAGTTGACAAACTTTTTTCCAAGACCAATAAATCAAAAACCCAATTAAGACTTTAATAGTGGTGACATTTGGAGGGCATGAGATTATTTTAATTTATTTTTTATAATAATTATGTGTTTTCAGCTTGACAATATAAAATATCTGAAATGTTGTTTTTTTTGTTTTTGTTTGGAGTTTGGAAGAATCTTGAAATCCCACTATCTATGCCTAGTTGTGAATTAGATGTGCCTAACTTAACCAAAAAGAAATCATACCTATCAATTAAAAATGCATAACTTTATAAACCAAACCACAAGTTTCTTGATACTTTGAGGAAACATATTCCTAAAACATCTTTTCCTCTTCATCACCAAAATGAAAAAAGTGAAAAGGAAAAAAGGAGTAGGCAATTAAAGTCGGTTATTCCTTTCGTGGGGTCCAATTCAATTAGCCTCAAAAACCTTCAACTTGGATAGTCTCTTCTTGTACTTTTACGCTTCTACCCCTAATCTTATAAAACAGGCCCAAACATGATTCCTGCACAAGTAACGTAGCCCAATAAAAACCGAGGCCCAATTTCGTAAAAATAAAGTGTTCCTCATAATTTATTTATTATTTTTTTAATTGATAAAAGAAATGGAGCTTTCATTTTAAAACACTATATAGTTTAAATAGGAATACAATTTCACCTAATTAGCATAAAGCCAAAGGCCAAAGACCAAAAAAATTAATTTCAACACAGATTCACCCAAAAACTGCAACAAAAATACAATGTAGATATCAATGATGTAAACAAAAACGAAAAAATGCACACAAAAAAACTGCAAACAAAAACAAAAACTAATTTAGTAGAAACAAAAATTGCCCCGCAAAGCCATGATGAAAGAAACGGAAACTACAATGAAAGAATGTGAGAGGATTTTATTCATATTTTTCCCGTTCTGTATTTTACTAACCATGAAAGAATGTGAAAGGCTAAGATTATTTCTTACTTGTTGTAATAAAATGCAAGATAGTGATTTTGCAATCTCTTTGCGTAACAATTTCAAACAAAGATTTATAGGTACAGTAGAAAGCGAGGTGGTAGTATTCGACCCTTTTTTATTATAAAAAACAGTATAGCCACATGGCTATACTGTTTTTGACACACTAATTCATATTTTTCCCGTTCCATATTTTACTAACTATGAAAGAATGTGAGAGGCTAAGATTATTTCTTACTTGTAATAAAAATGCAAGATGGTGATTTTGCAATCTCTTTGCCAACCAGAACAACAATTCCAAACAAAGATTTATGGGTATAGTAGTAAGCGATGTGGTAGTATTCTTCATGTAAAGTGTTGTTTGAAATGTGAAGCAATTACCAATAATACTCCAACTCAGCATGCAATTCTCTATAACAAATAATGTATGCAGTAACATAATTTAGTATCTCTTGAGAGAACGAGATAGACCAAAGGAAAAAATTCCTAAAAAAAAAAGAAGAAGAAAAAATTGAACTCTCAAATTGACTTAATGTGAAATTTCTCTCTCTTCAATATTTGCTTTGGAGATGTCGAAACTAGTAAATTAATATCTGTAAAGTATAAACTAATGCAACTAGAAGGGTCATTTTCTTTTAATTGTTTTTTAATAAATAGTATAGCCGTGCGGCTATACCACGGTTTTGCTATAAAATATAGTATAGCCGGTCGGCTATACTCGTTTGACACGTGGGGAATCGGGCGCTAGAAGCAGGCAGGTTTTTTTTAAAATAAATAGTATAGCCGCCCGGCTATACCCGGGGTTTTTTTATTTATAAAGATAGTATAGCTGCTCGGCTATACTACGGTTTTTTACAAAAAATTGTATAGCCGGTCGGCTATACTATTTTTGACACGTGGCGAAGCAGCATCGGCGCAGGCGGGTCCTTTTGCCCTTTTGTAACAGTATAGCCGCGCGGCTATACTCGGATTTTTTTAACGGTTTTGTATAGCCGGCCGGCTATACTACCTTTTTTATTATTAAAAAAAGTATAGCCGGCCGGCTATACACGGGATTTTTTTAAAAAAAGATTATAGCCGCTGGGCTTTACTGGGGTCTTTTTTTATAGGGTTATTCGCAGTAATGGTCCCACAACTATACCCCAAGTTACACTTTGGTCACTCAACTCAAATATTAGTTGCAGAGGTCACTCAATTAGGTGTTTTGTTACACCGTTAGTCCTACTGTCAAGTATGTTACTTTTTCTGTTTAAAATGATGATGTGGGAAGCATCTCTTAGATTATTGATGGGCAAATGTGACTTTTTAGTTAAAATTATTTGTAGCAATGATCTCTCAACTATATTTGTTGGCCTCGTTCAGGGACTTAGAAGAAAAAGAACTTTTGTTGGTCTCCGCAGAGAGAAGCACACGGAGAGAGAGCACGTGTGCCATGGTGTTGTGTGCTATGTCTCTGAACTCCCTCTCCTTCCCCCTCTTGTAACGGTAAGGCAATTGGATAAAACTTAATTTGTTGAAATAAATAAATAAAAAATGGGGAAAAACAATTAACAAAAAAAATATCACATTATCTATGTCAAGGGTATAGCCGCTCGGCTATACAATTTATAAAAAAAGGATTATTCACAGCAATGGTCCCTCAACTATACCCCAAGTTACACTTTGGTCCCTCAACTCAAATATTAGTTGCAGAGGTCACTCAATTAGGTGTTTTGTTGCACCGTTAGTCCTACCGTCAAGTCTAACGGTAGGGACTAATGGTGCAACACAACACCTAATTGAGTGACCAAAATGTAACTCCGAATATAGTTGAGAGATCATTGCTACAAATAATTTTAACTAAAAAGTCACATTTGCCCATCAATAATCTAAGAGATGCTTGCCACATCATCATTTTAAACAGAAAAAGTAACATACTTGACAGTAGGACTAACGGTGCAACAAAACACTTAATTGAGTGACCTCTGCAACTAATATTTGAGTTGAGGGACCAAAGTGTAACTTGGGGTATAGTTGAGGGACCAAAGTGTAATTTGGGGTATAGTTGAGGGACCATTGCTGTGAATAATCCTTTTTTTATAAATTGTATAGCCGAGCGGCTATACCCTTGACATAGATAATGTGATATTTTTTTTGTTAATTGTTTTTCCCCATTTTTTATTTATTTATTTCAACAAATTAAGTTTTATCCAATTGCCTTACCGTTACAAGAGGGGGAAGGAGAGGGAGTTCAGAGACATAGCACACAACACCATGGCACACGTGCTCTCTCTCCGTGTGCTTCTCTCTGCGGAGACCAACAAAAGTTCTTTTTCTTCTAAGTCCCTGAAGTTGGATAAGAGAACAAAGACATCCATTTCTGCTCCTAGGAAAGGTGAAATTTTCTGTTCATTTCCGTAGAAAATGCTGAGAAAAGAAGAAAAGTATGGATTATGATTTGAGACTCTTGGTAGAAGACAGAGCCTACATTTGCTAGCTTAGTGTGGCGTTCAAAAGTTCTCGTCTTTATTGTTAACTTAGTGGAAACTAGTTTGGGAGTGTGAATTGGTTCCAAATTGATGCTACAGTGAGTTCTTGATGCTGTCACTAAAAAGTGTGTTACTTTATAGGTAATTTGAATCCCTCACACAAAACCCAGAAGGTGAATTTGGAGATTTCTCCTCACAGAGCTGGTAATTTTGCACCTCTATGTGTATGTGTGTGTGTGTGTGTGTGTGTGTGTGTGTGTGTGTGTGTGTGTGTGTGTGTGTGTGTGTGTGTGTGTGTGTGTGTGTGTGTGTGTGTGTGTGTGTGTGTGTGTGTGTGTGTGTGTGTGTGTGTGTGTGTGTGTGTGTGTGTGTGTGTGTGTGTGTGTGTGTGTGTGTGTGTGTGTGTGTGTGTGTGTGTGTGTGTGTGTGTGTGTGTGTGTGTGTGTGTGTGTGTGTGTGTGTGTGTGTGTGTGTGTGTGTGTGTGTGTGTGTGTGTGTGTGTGTGTGTGTGTGTGTGTGTGTGTGTGTGTGTGTGTGTGTGTGTGTGTGTGTGTGTGTGTGTGTGTGTGTGTGTGTGTGTGTGTGTGTGTGTGTGTGTGTGTGTGTGTGTGTGTGTGTGTGTGTGTGTGTGTGTGTGTGTGTGTGTGTGTGTGTGTGTGTGTGTGTGTGTGTGTGTGTGTGTGTGTGTGTGTGTGTGTGTGTGTGTGTGTGTGTGTGTGTGTGTGTGTGTGTGTGTGTGTGTGTGTATGTGTGTGTGTGTGTGTGTGTGTGTGTGTGTGTGTGTGTGTGTCAATGTTTAATGAGTTTTGGATTATGAGGTTTCCTTTATATGCATTTTTTGCTGATTTGCTTAGTGGTTGGTTTAACCGTGCTTATATTTGTACACAAGAGGATGACATGCCCTGATTTTTTTTTAATGTTAATTTCTTAATGCGGATTTGTTTTTGCTTTTGCTCAGTTTCTGCAGTGAGATTGATGAGAATAGAGATGGGAGGTGCTTTTGCTGATCTTCTCAATGAGAAAGGCAAGGGTTCTGGTGCAAATGAGATGGGATATGTAGGAAGAACTCTTGGGTTTCGCACACGGGATTTAGAGGATCGTGATCTTAGATTGGTTATCTCTCCCTTCCTATTATCTAATTTGTGCACTTTATGTTTGTTTATTAGAATATCACTAGTAAAAGATTTCACTTCAGTATTTGGAACAGGTATAGCTGTGAGTGTGTGTAAGCCAAATATAGCCTAGGTGAAAGTGGGATATGGTTAATATATTAATTTCTTGAAGTTATCATTATGATGGGATTGAAGCCATACTTGAATATTTCTCTTTTTTCTTTTCTTTTGCCATTTTTTTTTAAATTCAACTGTATAGGTCACTGATATTGTTGGAGGTACAATCCGCTGGAAGAGATATCTTGATCATTTGATTAGTTCACTGTGTCATGATGCAAACACATTTACCAGGATGGAACCACTTCTTTTGCAGGTATTTCACACTCACATATTTATTACATGCACTTTCAAGTTTCAACTGTTTAGGTGTCTGGTGAGTGATATACAAATTACAACAATATGACCCATTCTTTTATGCAAGTAGCTAGAATCTTTTGCACTTGTCTCACTGTGTTGGAAGGAGTTCCATGGAATGTCTTTAATTTATGTAGATGTTTTTCTGTAGTTTAATGAGATGGACCTATTTTTTAATTGCATCGGTGGTGAGAACTCCAGTTATAGGATATGCAATTAATTATCTAGTTACTTTTAGAAATGTTGGCGATTGTGACTTTACTTTCCTGGTGACCAAGTAGCTAATTTTGGTGTTATCTGCCTGTGTATTTAGATTCTCCGGATTGGTTTCTATGAGATAATTAAGCTGGAAATGCCACCATATGCTGTTGTAGATGAGGTAATTTTATTTTCTCTTTTCAAATTCTCCTATTTTTCCTCAATCTATTTCGGCTGCTGGAGAGTTTTCCAGAAGCCTCAATTGTCATCTTGATCTTACCATTCTGATAAGGGAGAAATTCTGATTTTGGCTCAAAGATGAGATAGTATTCACCATGAATGGGGTTCAAATAGTTTGGTTGCTCCAAATTTTTGTCAAGTTGGGTTTGACATGTAGTCAATATTGGCTCTAGTGCTACTTGAGTCTTTTCCCCAGTTTATGTAACAAGTTCTAAATGTTCTCTTTAACATTGTATGTAATTGCATTAGTTTTCTAAATCCATAGTTGTTGTAAAAAACTGCAGAATGTGAGGCTTGCAAAAGTTGCCCTTAGACATGGTGCTGGCAACATGGTCAATGCAATTCTCCGGAAGCTTGTTCTTCATATGGTGAGGCATTATTTTAGTTTTATGGTATAATATAATCATGTAATTACATTGACATATTTATTTAATGTCTTCAAATTTGGGTTTTCAGGAAAATAGCTCTCTTCCTCTACCCAAATTGGAGGGTGATGATCGCACACAAGCACGTGCTCTTGCCACTCTGCACTCTCATCCAGTTGTAAGTTTATAATTGTAATGTTGTTCATACTTCTTTTGAATACTGGTAAAGGATAATCAGGTTCATGGGACCACCGTGGAGCTAGAAAATAGAAAGTAATCACCTACTGGTTTGAGGGATTATTGTCAATGATAGATATATTACCACAACAATTCACTCCAAAGCATTCAAAGCTGAAAATAATTGCAGATCTCCATGAAACTTAACATTTAATTCTACCTCTGGTGGAATCAAAACTTGAGTATCAAATAGCTGGCCTTGATAGTTTTTTTCATCTTCGCCCTTCCTTATTTTCAATACTTTCATTTTCCAGTGGATGGTAAGGCGGTGGACAAAGCATCTTGGACAAGAAGAAGCAATTAGATTAATGATGTGGAATAACAGCGATCCTAGTTTCAGCTTAAGGTTTCTAGTTTCTTTCCTTTCTATTTTCCTTCTAGGAACATGAATATCATGATTACCGTTTTCTGGTGCTAATGACAGGGCAAACAGTGGGAAAGGTGTTTCAAGAGCTGACCTTGTGACGAAGCTTGATGTGTTAAAGGTTCTTGATTATCCTTTTCAGTTTCTAGTTTGGTGATGTTGAAGGTTCTTTAAAATGGACCACCCCTCCTTTCTCTCTCTCTCTCAACACACAGAATATATTATATTGGCCAAGCCTCTATCCCCAGATATGCTTTCTAATTTTCTTTTCTTGAACTTCAGGTTCCGCACGAGCTCTCTTTTTATTTGAATGATTTTGTCCGTATGAAAACAGGGTTGCAGGTATGAGTTAAATTTGCAGTTCGTTTCAGTGGGTAAATTTTTTCTGTACGGAGTACCATCCTATTCTGCTATATTTTCTACAGACAATACTTTGAGATGTTATTTTGTATTTTCTTGTTTTGAAGAATAAGTTAAAGTGCAAGCATTTGTACAACTAGCTACTTTTGTTTTATTTTATTTACAATTCTAAAGTTTCTATGGGAAGCTCTGTACTTTTTGGAGAGCTACTAAAGGTCATAAGTACCTAAATTTTGCTGATTCAGATGGTCATACAAGCTGGTCTATTGAAAGAAGGTTTATGCTCAGTTCAGGATGAGAGTGCAGGTCAGTTTCCTCTTGATTTTAGTTAAAGCAAGATACTTGAGTAATTGGTAGATTGGTTTAACAATCAAATTGTTTTTGTTTTACACATTTTCAGTTTTTTCCTTGTTTTATTATATTGTTTTTGTTTTCCAAGCATGTGCCACTTGCCTATCAAATGATTTCTTGAAAGAATAACATTTGTCCATGCTTTCATGCATGCATAGGAAAATTTATGCGTTCTGCTTGAGCTGTATTCTACTTTTTTGGAACTGTCTGAATACAGAAATCCAATATATTTTCCAATTCAATGTTGTTGGACCTTTATATTGGTATCTCCTCAAATTATATAGTGCAATCTTGTTGCAGGTCTGGTAGTTTCTGTTGTAGATCCTCAACCGGGTGAAAGCATTGTTGATTGTTGTGCTGCTCCTGGAGGAAAGACTCTTTACATGGCATCCCTTTTGAGTGGCCAAGGTATCCATCATCTGTATTATAACATTTTGTGTAAGAAAGTATAGAAGTCTTATTCTTGTATTGATAAATTTAATCTTGAAATGATGACGATGTTAGACCATCTGATTTTCTTTTCCTATTGATGTTGAGAACCTATAACTAATGGGAGAGGTTTACCATTGGACTTCAGGTATGGTACATGCAGTTGACATAAATGAAGGCCGGTTGAGAATCCTCAAAGAGACGGCTAAGTTGCACCAAGTAGATGGTGTCATCACCACTATCCATGCAGATATCCGTACTTTTTCTGTAAGTCATCAAACCTTGTACAGAGTTGTTTTTTGGGGCATGAAATTTCTTATATGTTCCTTATCTTTTTCTCCAGGACAATAATACTATGAAGTGTGATAGAGTTCTGTTGGATGCTCCATGCTCTGGATTGGGTGTTCTCTCCAAGGTGATTGTATAAGAATCACATGTACTTTTGTTTTTGTTCCAATTATATATATAATATTTATTTGATGCCATTTTTCCTTCTGAATTTTGAAGAGAGCAGACTTGCGTTGGAACAGGAAATTAGAGGATATGGAGCAGCTTAAGAATTTGCAGGATGAGCTCCTTGATGCAGCTTCCCTGTAATACCAAATCCTCTCTCTCTCTCTCTCAACTCACATCTTATTCAACATCATGAAGCTTCTTTTCTAGTTGAAAAATTCTAAAACTCCAGAATTTATGTTAGTTGTCTCCCCCACCCAAAAAAGAAAAAAGAGAAGAAAAAATAGATATGAAAAAGAACCTAATGCACTTGAGGTTCAACAATTCCCAGTTTTGCACTTCAACTGCGATGCTTTTACTCATAATAGATTTGAAACATGTTCATAAAATCTGAATAATATTTTGATCGATTCAAGGTCTAAAATCTTCAAGTCGTGAACTCCTTTTACCCTGATCAATGAAGTGATCTGTCATAAATAATGGAGATGAAAATCGTGAATAGTCGTAACGAACTACAACCACCACCTCCCCTTTTCTTGGATTTTGGCAGTCGTGGTTTATGCATAAGAAAATAAGTTTCTTGTCACTTGTATTTTTCCTTTTTAATTTTACCTCAAGTATTAAAGGTTTAATGTGCATTTACAGATTGGTCAAGCCTGGTGGAGTTTTAGTATACAGTACCTGCTCTATAGATCCAGAAGAGAATGAAGAGAGGATAGCTGCATTTCTTCTCAGGCATCCAGTAAGGGCTACAACCTGATTTTTCTTTTAGCGCTTTACTCCTTATTATTATTATTATTATTATTATTTTCAGCTTATGCTCTTTTGAGGGTGAGGAACTGTTTCATAGTTTTTTCTTATCAAAAAGACGGGACTGTTTCATGTTTTTGAGTTCCAAGCAGAAATTGTTGAACTTACCTGCATATTCTCTTTGGAGCTTGGCTATACAAAAGCCAATGCTTACAAGTTACCTAGTACAAAATGAATGTTCTGTTAAAATGTTTAGTGTCATGTTCATTAAACAAAAAAATTGGCTTCCCCAAGTCCAGCAGGTCTTTTCGACTAGCTTTCCTAAATACTAGATTGAAAAAAATGGAAAATTTTGCACAGTTGGTGATAGTGCTCTATGAAATAGAACACTATGTACATCCGTGTGTGGCACTGCACAGTTGTAAATGTATTCTTGTGCATCTTTGTTTTCTTTATTTACAATATTATTTCTGGGTTTTCAGGATTTTTGCATAGATCCTATTGGCAGATATGTACCACCTGATTTTGTAACCGAGCATGGTTTCTATTTCTCCAATCCTGTAAAGCATTTCCTTGACGGGGCATTTGCTGCTCGTTTAAGCCGAGCTATATAACTGTAAGTAAAGCAAACCTTTCAACTTTAATTGGTTAGTGCATCTGGAAGTCCACTTCAATGAAAAATTATGTCACTAACCACATAAAACTTCTGCAGGTTTATTTGAGACAATTTCCTTTGAACAAGAAACCCTGAGAACTTAATTTGTGTTCTTCATTTTCCTGAGCTGGGGTCAGGTTCTGGAAATATGTTCAAACAAGTTTTACATATCTTTGGGGCAAGTTGCAACCGGGGGAGTAAAATACTGTTGCCGGGGAAAAGAACTGAATCAGCCACTATAAGATCTGTGGGCACAGCAAAGGTCATTTGCATGGAGGATAACCTTCATATATGCTAGGGGGCTGGGTTTCACTGATTCTGAATTTGGGTGATGACATATGAGAACTGCAGCTGCTAGAGAGCTCAACCAAATGATGAGATGAGGATTCAAATATTGGCTGTGCAGGAGGCAGTGTGGAAAAGTGTGTGCATATGGATGAGTTAGCAGCAAAATCATCACAGAAAACATTTGAAGGATTGGTTAATTCAATATTTGAGAAGTAACATTCACTCTCTCTTGTTCTTCTTGGCTTTTGGGCTATTTTAATGTACTTTAGCTTACGACCAATATGCACGATCAAGTTGTTGAAAGGCTTACTGGCTTAGGCAAATTGGATTTTAAATAAAATTATAAAGGCAACAGTGATGAGGTGACTACGTTTTACTTCATGGATACTGATTAATTACAACTTTTAATTGTTTTAATAAATAGGGTTTAGTATAACATACTTAAAACGTATAGCCGTGCGGCTATATTACGATTTTTTATTATTGGGGTTTATATATATATATAACGGGTACAGCCGAGTGGCTATACGACGGTTTTTTATTATTAAAAAAGTATAGCCGACCGGCTATACTTGTTTGACACGTGGGCGCCGAGTTGCTACGTGCTAAACGAGTTTTTTTTTATTTTTTAAATAAATAGTGGAGCCGCGCGGCTATACTCGGGATTTTGTTTTTTAAAAAAAGGAGTCTAGCCGCGGCTTTAACGCGGTCGTGTTTTAAATTTTTTTTCTAAACTAGTATAGCCGACCGGCTATACGCTTTACATAGATAGTATGATCTTTTTTTGTTAATTGTTTTTCCCCGATTTTTGTTTATCGTTAAGATCAGTTTATAGCATTATCCATTACTATTAGCCCATTATACGAGTCTTCATTGTCCCCTTTTGAGTTTTTATTTTTCCAGAGCTATTATCCGCATAAAGAATTTAGCATTTTCACATGTAATACTCATATTGTACACGTACATACGTATTTGTCATGTTTAATACACTTGTTTTTTTACAAATATACACATCATTTTAGCATATTATTGAATAAAAATAATATATATTAAAAAATTTAAATATATTATATTAAAATATTATATTTTGGCCGAACTTATCACTTGTAATTTGAAAAAATATTACCGACTAAAACACGTACGTATTTTATTCATATTTTTCCCGTTCCGTATTTTACTAACAATGAAAGAATGTGAGAGGCTAAGATTATTTCTTGTTGTAACGAAAATGCAAGATGGTCATTTGGCAATCTCTTTGCCAACCAAAACAACAATTTCAAACAAAGATTTATGGGTATAGTAGTAATCGAGGTTGTAGTATTATTCTTCATGTAAAGTGTTTGAAATGTGAAGCAATTACCAAGAATACTCTAACTCAACATGCAATTCTCTACAACAAATAATGTGTGCAGTAATAGAATTTAGTAGCTCTCGAGAGAACGAGGTAGACTAAAGGCAAACATTCCCCAAAAAAAAACAAAAAAAAAAATTTGAACTCTCAAATTGATTTACTGTGAAATTTCTCTCTCTTCAATATTTACTTTGGAGATGTCGAACATAGCAAATTAATATCTATAAAGTATAAACAAATGCAACTAGAAGGGTCCTTTTTGTTTTTATTTTTTTCATAAATGGTATAGCCTTGCGGCTATATTCCTATTAAATATAATATACTTCAAGCGTATAGCCGCGCGGCTATTCTATTTCTGACACGTGGGCGCAAGCAGTCAGCCGGGTTCCCCTTTTTATTTATTTATTTTTTATACAAATAGTATAGCTGCGCGGCTATACGTGGGGTTTTTTAATAATAAAAAGTATAGCCACTGTTTTTGACACGTGGATCTCAAAATCGCTACGCGCTAGGCGGTCCTCTCTTTTTTATTTTTATAAATAATATAGGGGAAAGGTAGAGGAAGGGTAAAGGCAAGGAGGGCTGAGGGAAAACAATGGTGGGAAACAAAGGCCTTGGATTTGAAGATTCACCCTTGGAGCGAGTCTACATTGGGTGTGTATTTAGAGGAGGATTTGGGTGAAGAGTGATCACATGAGATGCTGGTTGAGTAGCAGGGGTAGGGGATGGTGAGGAGGAAGGATCATGAAGAGGAATAGGTATGCCTAATGGTGTGGGGAAAGGAGGAGAATAAGAGTGAGGAGATAAGGGGGTGGTGAGGGTAAGTTAGGTGGTGCTTTAGGAGGCAGATAAAATGGGACGTAGAATTGTTAAGCAATGCCATGACATAAGAATTGTTGGAAAGCATGGCTAGTTTATTCTCCACCATTATCACAACAAAGAGATTTTAGTTTGAGATTAAATTGATTTTCAACTAGTGATTTAAAATGTGAGAAAGTAGAGAAAACATGAGATTTTGATTTCAAAGGAAAAAACCAAGTAAAGTAAGATTAATCGTCTACAAAGATAACGTAATATTAATAACCAGATAAGGAGAAGTGGGGTTAGACCCCATACATGAGAGTGAACTAATTGTACAACTTAAACGATTAAAGGGAAGCTTAGAACTTCTACCTAATTGAGGGTCAGAGGAGAAATATGGAGAAACAGAGGAGCTCGAAAGACGAAAGCCATGATGGTGGATGAGGTGGTGGAGAGTGGAAGCATAAGGATGTCCTAATCGTTTGTGCCAGAGGATGAGGAAGCTTTGGTGCTGAGAAGTGCAACTGGAGACAATTGTGAATTGAGGGAAAGAGAAAGAGAATAGAGAGAGCCATCAGTAGGGGCACTGAATAAAATCATCCATGTAACCATGTTCTTCACATAACATTCAAAAAGAGTAAATGTGAGTTGACACCAATTGCAATCCTCGACTCGATTAGAGACCCGCCAACAAACTCGACCGAATCTCTGCCTTTCGCCCACCGTTAACAGCATTCAAGTTGTAGTCTTTTTGGTTACACTACAAGAAAAACTGCCTTTAGTGACGGTTAAAAAGTGTCAAGAATCTATTTAATTGACGGCTAAACAAGCGTCACGAATGCTAGTGTCAGGAAAAGCATACCCACATAGTTGACGCTTTTTGTCCGTCAAGAAAACAGTTTACTTGACAGATAAAATCTGTCACAAAATTGCAAAATCCGTCAACTTATGGTCATCCTTGATGCTTTCTAACTGTCAACTTATGTATTTCTTGACATTGGTAAGCTCTTTATTGACGGATTTTAGACGTCAAGAAACAAGACACTAACAAAAAAAAAAATTAGAAACAAAAATACAGCTCCTTGACAACAAAAGTTGTAAAGAATGACTTTAACATTAAAAAAACAAATAAGAAATTGTACATCCACTAGCATAATACAATAATTTAAAATAACACAACTATATACTTAAATAGTATTGAAATTACAATATGAATACAATTAAAATAAGCGTACTAAAATGAACTAAGATCTCTAGTAACATGTAAGAAGTTCTCAATTTAGAAATAACTTGTCACTTAGAAGCTTTACTTTCCCCCATAACATCTCTAAGTGAAGCCCATTACAAGTCCAGGTCTTACTTTGGTTGGAGCCTCCCTAGTCATACCAATCTGTCAAAACATTAACCTATGTGGATCAGTGAGTCATCAAAAATCTCAATTACAAAAATCTCTACAAAGCAACACAGCACCATAGCACCAACATCAAAATTTAGAAAGATTTCAATATTCTCAAAATAAAACAAACATCAATTGAACAAGGAATTGAATTTAAAAAATCTTGGATGTATAAGTTCTTACCTACATCCTATTACGGCATAACAATCATTCACAAAAAAATAAATTAAAAAACAATGAAGAGACTTACTCAGAACTGAAATTGGAAACAACTTAAATAATATGCTTACCTCATGGCCATTAAGCATAAAAGCCAACCTGTCACAAGAGAAAAGCCAAGATTTAAATGTTTAATTATGAAGAATTGACCCACTGAAGAACAGATTATCTTGATTTAGTATAATGTGTGTGCTTACTAATTAGAATCCTCACTTTCTCAGAAAGAATTTACAGTTTTCAATTAAACAATTGTATTCTCCCACTCCTTCTAGTGAATCATGTAAACCAATAAAGTCTATCATTTAAGAAAACCAAATAACTACATGTTTATAGCTTTATCTATACACTCAAAACAAGGAATCAAAAGAGAACCTACCAGGAATAAAGAAGAAGAGATGAACAAGAAGTGCTAAGAATGTAGTCCAGATACCATATTCGCCCCTGCAAGTAAAGTTATGCATTTAAACTTAAATGGCAAATGTGATCCATAGGTTACCAAGAAAAAAAAAACTAAAAGGCTTACAATAAAATTCAAAGAATGCAAAACTGGTACGTTGTACACAGAAGCATCTATAACAATAAGTTTCAAAGAAACCATGGAAAATGAATATAAAAAATAAAATAAAAAAAGTCATTAAAGAAATCATGTTGGAAAACATTCCCACTCCAAAACAGATGACCTACATCTCTTTTAAGATAGCAGTCCTCATTAAATGAGCTAGAAAGCAGATGTATGCAAAGGCAATGGTATTACACAAACAACAAGGCCTTACACCATAAATCAATTTACATTTTGTGCACGCACAATATATTACTGAACTTTTTAGTCATTAATATTTAAACCTAAACTAGGCAATAGAAGTACATATAATTAAGGCATAAACGCAGCAGGATTGACCCATAATGGGTCCAATCCAACTCTGGGGACCAAATCTAATCGGGCTCCAGTTCATCCCACAAAAGGTTGCAAGGAGGGTCATGAGGATTCTAACTCTAGAACTTCCCAATCAACAAGAATCAGAGTTCTATAAATCTAAATATGCATAATAGTGTATGAAGCATCTAAATCCTTGTACTTATGGTATTAATATGTAAACAATATAAAATATGAATCTAAAGGAAAGGATCAGACCACATTATATACCCAATGCCCAATTCAGTTCATTTAACATGTATACACGCAGTGGAGCATACAAAATCCTAGACTTCCTAAATATAAGAGAATCAGCAACCACAAAAAAGTTCATATTCAGCATACCCCATATGTACCCCAAAAAAAAGAAGAAAAATGATCAGTTGCACGCATAGGAAAACAAATGCATCTTAAAGAAAACGAACCTATGTGCTGCTTTCGATATGAAGCCCGTAATTTCCCTGACACTGACCTTCGTCGGTTCAGTTGTTTCAAGAGCCTTTTATACTCTTTTTTGTCATAAGCTGGAACTTGTAGGGCAAATAAATGGAAGAAGAACATGTTTATTAGACTGTTATATGCATATTACAGTGAAATTGGAAAACTTAAAAAGAAAACTATTTTCATTTGTGTGAAGTTAAATACTACTCTGGTTTGGTTTCAATGATAGGGAGATATACTTGAACATTAAAAAAAATGATAGGAAGAAAAACTCCAACCAAAAAATAATACGGAGATATAGTCCAAATAAACAAAATTAAGAAGTTAATGTGATTACTGAAAATTTAAATGTATTTTAAATTAAATAAAGAAAAGTTTAATTGGGTGGGGTTGTTAATATCAGGCTGGGAAAGAGATCTGTATTGGGTTTTTTGTTTTCTCAAACCTGGTCCAAGAGGCCATGATGACAAAATATAAAAATAGAAGTTAAGTGACCTGTCGTTTTGGCCAGGTCCAAAAACAAAAACAAACAAGAAGCAAGTGCTGCCATGCTTTCTTCATTTAGACATTTCAACGAGCCGTTGCTGGGCACTCTTGCCCAGCCATCAACCACAACAAGGGGTAATTCCTTTTGCTTTCCATGGCGTTTTATGGGTTTCCAGGGTTCAAAAGAATAATAAGCATCACCATTACCACACTCTTCAACTTAAAATCCATAAAAATTTAAAAATTAAACCTAAAAAACAAATCATACTCCTAGAAAAAGACCTAGAAATTCTTTTTTCAGAAACTTCCCCAATTTCTATATAAATGGAACATAGATATTACAAAAAACATAATTAGGGCTTACAATGGAGGAAGAGAGACTGCGCGAGGGGTGAGCAAGCCACTGAGAGAGCACGAGCTAGCCACAGCGATAGAGAAAGAGAGACAGAGCAAGAGTGAGAAAGATAGAGCGAAAGCTAAGAGAGAAATAGTGAGAGTGAGAAGGAACGAGAGGAGAGAAATAGAGCGATAATGAAAATGAAAGTGAGAGAGCGAGAGTTAGAGTCAGAAAGAGAGAGAGCTTTTGAAAAATTGGGGTTTCACTCGTGAAAAATCAGATCCCGCTTTTATTTTTTATGCCCGCCCACAATCGCTTCTTTTTCTTTTTCTCTTAATGCTATCTTCATTTTTTATTTTTTTTATTTATTTTTTTTGGTCTGAGACTAGCTTGTTTAAAGTGTCAACTTTTTTTTTCTTTCCCTTTTTCTCTTTTTCCTAAGGGTGTTTTTTAGAAAGTGTCAAGTATACAAGGGTTTTAATTGATGTTTTTTATAAAACATCAAGAAAAAGTGATATAGAGTTGAAGTTCTTTATTAAACGTCAAGGAAAGTGATATAAAGTTTTTTTTTTGGTTTTAGACCAACTTGTTTTTAAAGTTTCCGCCTTTTTTTTTTTTTTTTTTTTATCTCTCTTTTTCTCTTTTTTCTAATGGTGATTTTAGAAAGTGTGAAGTATACAAGGGTTTTAATTGACGTTTTTATATATATATAAAATGTCAAGAAAAAGTGATGTAGAGTTGACGTTTTTTATTAAATATCAAGGAAAGTGATATATAGTTGACGTTTCTTCTAAAACGTCATGAAAACCTACTATGTAGTTGACGTTTTTTAAAAAGCGTCAAAGCTTCATAGAATAGGTGATGGTTTTGCAAAAAGCGTCAGCTATAAAGTGTCAACTAAGGCCCATTTTCTTGTAGTGTTAGCTTAGTGAAACTAGGCTTTTCCGACGCTCTTACGACCCTCAAACCGGTTAGAGATATGCAAACCGACCCGGCTGGATCACTGCCTTTCGCCTACCGTTAAAGGCAGTTTTGGTTGCAATTTCTTCATCTTATCGACCCTGTCGTCTATCTAGATTTCTTTTCTTCATACATCCACTGTAGAAGACGGATCAAACTCAATAAGATTTGGCTATCCCTTATCGATTTCGTTTTTAAGCCCATCTCTATGCCAATTTCCGTCTACCCAGATATCGAACTTCATCCTCTCTTCATGATCTATGTTGACATAAGGAAATAACCAAACCAATTTTACCCAATATGAGCATGGCATGTGACACTATCTGACTACTAAAGGTCAACCATCGACCATGGCCACCGAGTCCGACCATTGAGAATTCACGATTTAACATTTGGCATCGTCTAGGGGAAACCACATAGAAAGGTGGTACGTTAGCTTAGGTACATCCTCGACCCACCTGCAAAAAGACCTAAACGGATCTCTACTTTTCCCCCACAGTTATACCCACCGTTAGCGGCATTAAGGGTGTGTTTTTTTTTTTTTTGGTCTTTGTTGTAAGCTTGTTAGAAACCCGTGAACTGTCCTCGTTGAATCTCTGTCTTTCACCTACCATTAAGGGCGATTCCTATTGTAATTTTTTCATTTCTTGGAGCCCATTGTCACTCTAACATGTTTTTCTCTATACACTCATTGCATAAGATGGATTGAATCGAATAAAATTCAGCCACACACATCGGTTTTCATCGTTTTCAAACTTGCCCTACGCCACTTTCTGTCGACCCAAGTATCAAACTTCATCCGCTCCGGTTTCCCCCCACTATTAGCAATGTTCAAGATGTGGTAATTTTTTTTTAGTTTGGTGAAAGTAGTCTTTTCCGACGTTCATGCAACCCTCGACTTGGTTAGAGACCCACGAATCGACCCAGTTGGATCTCCACCTTTTGCCCACCGTTAACGGCGATTCTAAATGCAAATTTCTTCGTCTCATCGACCCCATTGTCTTTCTAGCCTAATTTTCTCATACACCCAGTGTAGAAGACGAATCAATCTTAATAATATTTAGTCCCCCCATCCGTTTTCCTCGTTTTCAAGCTCAGCTCTAGGCCACTTTATGTCGACCTAGGTATCAAACTTCATCCTCTCTTCATAATGTATGTTGACATAAGGAAATGACCAAGGCCAGTCTACCCAATATGACTATGACACGAGGTGACCGTGGGCACCTTGTTCGATCACTAAGAATTCACGATTTAAAATTTGGCGTCGTCTGTGGGAAACCATACCTTATCTTAGTCACGTGATGTCTTGATTGTCTCAGCTTCCTCTCAGGTTTGTTATGTTTTCTCTCAGCTAATCATGTTTTCTCTCAACTAGTCCATCAGGCTGTCTCTCAATCCACTCTAGGTGTTTCTTTATTCTCTTCTCTTTTCTTCCTCATTTTGTTTATTTCTTCTAGCTTCTTATTTCTACTGTTTGTTTCATTTACTTGTTCCTAGATGTTTTACCATTGGGTTTTGTTAAGAGTTTATCTAGAGGAATTCTTTCGAACCCCACGCACGCTGAGAATCTCACTCCTCTTCTTTTTCTCTATGGAAAATCTTGTCCAATTATTGGATGAGTGTATAAAACATGGCTTGAACCCAGACAACTATCTCATTCGAGTCCTACTGTAGGCTTGGATCAACTTATTCACCCATCGTTATGTGTGGTTTTTTTTGTTAGCTTAGTGAAACCGGCCTTTGTCGACACACCAACAACCCTCGAATCAGTTAGAAACTCGCGAACCGTCCCAACCGAATCTCCACCTTTAGCCCACCGATAGCGGCGGTTCCGGTTGCAATTTCTTTGTCTCACTTGCCTGCTTTTCCCCATACACCCACTTTAGAAGACGGATTAAACCCAATAATATTTGCCAACCCCATCAGTTTTCCTCGTTTTCAAGCCCATCCCTATGTCACTTTTCGTCAACCCAGGTATCAAACTTCATTCTCGTTATGATCTATGTTGACATAAGGAAATGACCAAGGCCAGTCTACCCAATACGACTATGACACGTGGCACTTTTGCACTACCAAAAGCCAACCACCTATTGTGGCTACATAGTCTGACCACTGAGAATTTACGTGCATGGCTAGACCAATTTGAACTAAGGAGGAAAAAATAACATCGACTTACTTGCGACTTCCACCAGTCAAAAGGCCACTAGGCTAAAAGATATCATCTTCAATAGTGACTTGGAGTGCAAATATTCGTGTTAAAAGCAACTTAGAAAACATTCAAGGAGATGCAGATTGTGTCATGCGCCCTTTTAAATATAGATTTGAATTGTTTAGAAGTACAATATTATAGAATTACGTTTAACATTTAGTGCCATTTGTGGGAAACCACATAGAATAATGGTATGTTAGCTTAGGTATGCCAACGAACCACCTGAAGAACAGACTTGGCCGAATCACCTTCTTTCGCCCACCGTTAGAGGCATTCAAGGTGTGACTTTTTTTTTGTTAAATTAGTGAAATCTTTCTTTTTTGACACACTTACATCCCTCGATCCGGTTAGAGACATGAGAACTGTCTCAGCTGAATCTCCACCTTTCGCCTACCGTTAGCAGCAGTTTCGGTTGTAATATCTTCACCTCATCGAGCCCGTCAGCTTTCTAGTGTGCGTTTCTCCATACACCCACTGTAGAAGATAGATTAAACCCAATAAGATTCGGCCACCCTCCATTGATTTTCTCATTTTCAAGCCCATCTCTATGCCACTTTTTGTTGACCCAGGTATCAAACTTCATCATCTCTTCATGATCTATCTTGACATAAGGAAAAGACCAAGCCGGGTCTACTGAATACAATCGTGATGCGTGACATTATCGCACTACCAAAGGTCAACCACTGACTGTGGCCACCTAGTCTGACCACTGAGAATTCACGGTTTAACATTTGGCATCATTTGTGGAAAACACATAGAAATGTGGTACATTAGCTTAGTGAAACCAATTTTTTTCAACACGCCTGCAGCATTCTACCCTATTAGAGAGCCGCCAACCGACCCATTCAAATCTCCACCCTTCGCCTACCGTTAACGACGGTTCCGATTGCAGTATCTTCGCCTCATCGAGCATGTCTTCTCTCTAGCATGCTTTTCTCCATACACCCATTGTAGAAGACAGGTCGAATCCAATAAGATTTGGCCATCGCCCATCGGTTTTCCTCATTTTCAAGCCTATCCCTACGCCACTTTCCGTCAACCCAGGTATCAAACTTCATAATTTCTTCCTCATCTATATTCACAGAAGGAAATGACCCAGCCTAGTCTACCCAATATGACCATGACACGTGGCACTATTAGACTACCAAAGGTCAACCATTGATCGTGGCCACCTAGTCCTACCATTAAGAATTCACCATTTAACATTTAGCGTCGTTTGTGAGAAACCATACAGAAAAGTGGTACATTAGCTTAGTTAAGCCCTCGACCCACCCTCGAACACACCCGACCGGATCTCTGCTTTTCGCCTATCGTTAATGGCGTTCAAGGTGTGGTATTTTTTGTTAGCTCATTCAAACTAGTATTTTCTAACACTCATGTAGCCCTCAACCCGATAAGAGACCCACAAACCAGGATCTTTGATGTGCCCTCATTATGTATCTTTTACCTAAAAACTAGTCCTCTAGTTTGAAATGTGGAAGGGCCAAGGCCACTCTTGGTATAAGAGTGGCTCCACCAACAACATTCAACATGCGCCTAGAGAACTCGTATGTACCTTAAATCCTTTGTTACCTTAATGTTCCACAAATACACTTTGTTACCTTATGTGACAAAATGTGCAAATTGAAGCCTTGAATAGAGCGTTGTACAAACTAGTATGTTCCTAAATCCACTATATATATAAGGATCATAAACATTCATGCGTTAGTACTTTATCCTTAACAAGGTTTCAATTTGCCCTTCTTCTCTTGAGCCCAAACTTCCATTAGGAAGTTGGGCCTCGTTCTATAGCATCCTAGTTGGGCCTACCCCACCCCACGACGCCGTTTAGCCTCTTCATCTTCAACCTTGGGTTGTATACTCTTTCTCTGCGTAAATCCCGAAGGCCGAAAACTCAGACAATGCTCACACAATGAACACTCACCGCCCCGTGAAGGCTCTATCACGTGCGCTGTCACGTGCCCTATCCAACTCCTCATCGTCCGTACAATCTTCATCGACCTTTCCTCTGAAAAACGTAACGAAGTCGGACTTCGAGCCGGCTCTAGCCGAGCTGCGCCGCCATGTCGCCGCCGCCGACTTCGTGGCCATCGATCTCGAGATGACCGGCATCACCAGCGCGCCGTGG